CCGGGTGCGCGCAGCGGGGCCCAGCTCACCCCCCTGAGCCCGCTCCGGCGCCCAAGGCTCCCCCCGGCCCGAGGAGCAGGGAGCCACCGGCGCTTCGTGGAGGATCTCAAAGATTTCCTGTAGTTTCAGGGAAGGCTGTCGATGCGGGTAGGGGGAACAGGGAGAAAAGGCCCTGCACTACATCCATCAGAGCCCGTCCTGCTCAAGCCCTGGACTCCTTTTTCCTAGGCTGAATTGCTCTTCTCGGTCCCTAGCCCCCCAGGCAAGTCCCTTGGCCTCTTCCTCCCCTAGCAAATCTCTAACTGAAAAAAACAGATTAAAATGGAGTATCCTAGAGCAAGCAAGGCCTTTTGCGGAAAACCCGAGGCAGTAGCAAAGAGCAGCGCTAAGCACTGTCAGAGCAGGCGTGACAGCACGTCTCAGCTGGAGCAGAGGCGGCAAATCGGTCACAGCAGGTTCCAGCTGCAGCGACCGTCTGTGTCTGTCTCCAGCACGGCAGAGGTGTCCGGGAAGCTGCCGTCTTTGCATGGCCTTAAAACCTACTCCTAGAATTGCGTGGCTGCCAGGAGCAATCGCTCCATCTCCTTGGCAAGACTGATTTTTATAAGCAGAGGCTCCAGCGACACAAGGAAGCTGTCCCATCCGGACGGCCCACTCTGCCTCGCTGCTCCCTGCACAGCAGAGAGCAAACCCCAAGCTGCGGTCCTCACGGCTGCGTCCCCCAAGTCTGCTGCCATGGCTGTTCATCGCTCTCCTGATTACTTCCCCACCGGGGGAACCGGTGAGGACTGCCTCTTGGGATTGCCTAGGAAGGCACAGCATGGCCCTGGTGGCCCTTGAGACATCTGGCCACCTTAACGGACACCAGCAGAGCAAGGAGACTCCTATCCAAGGAGCTGAGCACATGCTTGAGGAGGTACAGCTGCCCCATCCCTCTTCCCACACCCAGACAGCATTCATTCCTTCATCTGACTTCATTACCTTCTAAACCCCCAAATATCCCAGGATTTGGCCACAAGCACTGGAAGGTCTCAGAGCCATCTGATCTGCATTGCTAAGCACTGCTACCTCCTCCCCTTGCACAGCTCAGCTTAACCTCTGCCCCCTAACATTTGCAGATATATGCACAAAGCTTAATCTCACAAGGAGCCAGGAGACTGTTTCTCCCCGCAGAGGAGACAGGATTTTATTATTTTCCACTTTACATGCTGGGTTGGCCTGGCTCTTGGGCTGCTTCAGAGCTAGGGAGCTGAAAAGAGAATGTATAAGGCGAAGGCTGTGCAGCTCTGGGCTGTAGGACGGGGACCGGTGCAACAGGATGAGCCCGTCCAATGCAAAAGGGACCCAGCCCGATGTGCCAAGGTGATGAGTACCCTCCATCCTCAAGGGCTTCGGTGCAAATGTAGAGAGTGGAGCACCTCCCAGGGTCAGTCTAGAAATCGTCCTCAACGCTGCAATAAAACCTTCCTTGGTTTGTCCAGAGCTAGATAATTTGGGACTTACTATGACAATACAACCAGAGTCACAGCCATTTCTGTGCTGTAGCTCTTGCCTTGCTATCAATATTTGCAAAATGCTTCCCGAAGCATTAATTGCACGACATTGCTGGAGTGATTGCATCGGGGAAAATGCAGCATCCATTTCACGGTCAGGGCAGGCAGCCGCGGGCAGCAGAGCTGGGCGGCCAAGGCGGGTGCGGGGTAGGAGTCGCGGACAAGAGCAGATGCATCGAAAGAAGGAGAGCGCTGGAGAAGCGAGCCAAGAAACCTCAGCCACCACCACCCTGCTGAGAAGATGGCCTGATCCTGCCCTGGGAATGGGAACGGGAATTTTGCCATTCGTTGCAAGAGCAGCAAAATCGGGGCCAGAAGGAATATAAGAAAAAAATACCCTAGTGCCAGTTTTCAGGTTTCCTGGAAACCTGGTAAAATGCTTCCATCGCGTGCTCAGCGCTGACCCAGGCCGCTATGTCTTGTTAAGCTCTTCCGCAAGCTTTGTGAACAGGGGTAAACATCCCTCGGGGGAACAGCATAAAATAGCAGGCTGGAGGGGCCGGGTTTATTTCACATAATATCCCTCCTCCTGCCCGCCCTCCCCTCTACCGCTTCCCTGCTCCGGGCTGAGCAAGCCGGCCTCGTCCCTCATCGCTCCCGCGGCGCTGCGCAACAGGCGGCTTCAAAATGCAGCGCGTCCGCCGAGGCGAGCGGGGCCAGGCCAGGCGCACGCGCACCCGCAGGGCAGGAACGCGGCGGGGATAACCTCGCTTGGGAGAAAAAAGGTTAAAGTCATCCTGAAAGACGGATCGGCGAGAATATTGCCCCGCTCCTTCGTTGCCTCCACGGCAGACGGAGCGCGAGAAAGGAAACGGGCTCGCGGGAAACGCCAGAAAGACAGAGGAGGAAAGGCAGGAGGGGATGGAAACACGGAGAGGAGAAAACGGGCGACGCGCCCCGAGCAAGGTGCAGAGCCCTCTCCCCAGCCGGAGCCAGCCGGGGGCTGCAAGCAGAAAGCGGGACCTCACCGGCCTCCAAAGCACCATTCCCGATTCTCCAGCACAGGAGCATTTGTTTTGGAGAAATGACAAGTACCAAAAAGTAATCTAATTTGTTGCAGTTATTCAGCACTTTCTCAGCATTTGGCTCAGGAGGCCAAAACTCACTCTGGGAAGAGTCCAGGGAGTCTGGAGGGCTCCCGCTACGCCTGAACGGCGTACAACTTTGGGGGAAAATGCAATCGGCAGCTAGTCTTTAAAGCGAGAGAGAAATTCATAGGCTGATCCCGTCAGCGTGGCTTCCCGCGGCCGAACGCGGGACCGTCCGTCCACTTGACCAGAAGCCTGGCCCACCTTCCCCGCGGCGCTGGAGGGAGACAGGCCACCAGGACAGTCTGGTCGGGAACGGCCGGATTTTCTCTCCTCCCTCCCCCCATCCCGAAGGATTTGGCATCGTGCGAGTCACCGCGTTCTCTGGCTCTGCCCCAGGGACACCATTAGGCACCAGCCCCGCGCGCTGAGGACCGCGCTGGCAGGCTCTGACTACGCCCACCCCCGGCGCAGCCCCGG